TTTATACAAAAATGCTTGCACTACTCCAATTAGTATACACAAAATAATATAAACAAAGCTTAAAAGGTTCTTTATTGCTTTGAAAGTGTAAATATCGGTCCATAAACAACTGAAGGTTATGTATATTTTATCAACAAATATCAAGAATAGCCGGAATTTTGTATTAAAGGATCAACAGACCAAAATGATTTAAGTGTGTGTTCGAGATATGAAACAAATCAGCAATTGCATTGTTATATTATAACAATAACTTTATATTCCATCTTCAATAACTTTGAAATCCTACAAGTACCGATAAAATGTTAAATCTTCAGAAAACAAAATGTTTATGTATACCTAATATATACCTTTTATACTTAATATTCTTGGGTAAAATAGGTTTATAATTTTCATTGAAGTTTAAACTATAAAGAATGTTTATAATCATTGCCTAATATTGAATCGATAAATCCATAGCTTGCAGTATATAAATATAGGTAGGTAGGTAATTTCCTAAAATTATATCTGATACTGGTGGTTCCCCTAAAGTAGACCCTTTTCTAGTACACTAATTTTTGAGTATGTACTTAGACATTAATTAATATATAACAATACAAAGTATTTAAAATAGTTTTGTATAATTATATATCATTTAAAAACTCCCATTTCTTTCAAAATTCAACTGTAGCGAAATCTCACGATTTCTTACGATTTATTTACAAATTTAAAAAATCCAACATAACTTCGTTTGTCCATTACATTTTTTAGCAAAAAACTGCAAAACAACTTTGACAACACTACAGAAAACTACTCGTAATAGCGAATAAAAAACTTCTGACTTGCATTTGTCGTCTGTTAAAACACAGACGCGGTAGGATCGCGTCGCACGAGCATGTACCGCACTTTTGATGTTACCGACTCTAGATGGATAGGACGGACCAGCACAGACGTGCCTGCGCTACCACGGACGAGACCCTTCCCACGGTGCGTGGTGCGTGCTGGTCCGCTTACGTCCGTAATATCGCCGACCGTGGGAAGCCTGTATAAGGTTGGCGAGGTGCTATGTTTTTTCGACTTTGTTTATGGAATGAAATCTTCGACCTTGAATAAGTCATCAATGACAAAACTGGAATCATTCGAGCTGTGAGTGTATGAAAGAATTCTAATAATATCGTGGACAGAACACGTCACAATAAAAGAGGTTCTGATAGCGGCTTCTCACGGTCGGCGATATTGCGGACGTAAGCGGACCAGCCCGCACCACGCACCGTGGGAAAGGTCTCGTCCGTGGTAGCACAGGCACGTCTGTGCTGGTCCGTCCTATCCATCTAGAGTCGGTAACATCAAAGGTGCGGTACATGCTCGTGCGACGCGATCCTAGCGCGTCTGTGTTTTAACAGACGACAAGTGCAAGTCAGAAGTTTTTCAATCACTGACACGAGTAGTTGTTTGTAGTGTTGTTAAAGTTGTTTTGAAGTTTGTTTGCTAAAAAATGGAATGAACAAAGTTATTTTTGATTTTTTAAATTTGTATCAAAATGAACCAAGTTTATGGAATTCCACGGCTCTAGAGCATGAGAACCGGAACGATGCATACGATATATGGAACCGAATAAAAAATCAATTGAAGAATAGTACTATTTTGATTAAAAAATTAAAAAAGAAGAGAGATAATTTAGTGTCGACATACAGAAGGCAATGATGTTTACAAGCCTGAGTGGCCTTTTTATGATATAATCAAACATTACTGTCACGGACCTACAAAGACTGTCACGGACCGTAGGAAGAGCTTTGTCTGCGATGCGTTGTCGTCCGTGCTGATCGGCTATCCGCGATGATCTGTAGAATCGCCGATCGTGGGAAGATACTTTGAGAAGGATGAATAAAGAAGTAGACATTTTAAATACAATTAAAACAAAAAACCTGGAATATCTCGGACATATTACACGTGGAGAGAAATACACCTTGCTCCAACTGATTATGTAGGAAAAGATCCAAGGAAAGAGAAGCATAGGGAGGCGTAGAATGTCATGGCTGCGCAACCTTAGTGAGTGGTACGGACGTACATCAAATGAACTTTTCATAGAAGCCGTCTTAAAAGTCCGAATAGCTGTGATGATTGCCGACCTCCTCCTTGGAGATGGCACTTGAAGAAGAAAAAGATTTAACTATTTTGTGAATATTATTTCCACATTTTTTTTTGCTTTCTGTGTTGCATAATAATTCCTTATTATTATCTGATTAAGTTGCGACATTTAATTGTGGTTACCGTTTTTAGCCATATCGCCACCTTTGAGGAGACCTTTGATGCCTCTTATTTTCTTTACTACTGCTGCGAACTCTGTGTACTGCATGATGAGATCTTCTACTACTCTTTCTGTGAGATCAGATCCTTGTGTAATCCTAAACACTCTTCCAACTTGTTTATTATTTATTTATTTATATACGGCATCCATTTACTTACAATTTTTACAAAGTTACATCTTAAAAACAATACATTATTAAAATAACCATCACAAGTTTTACAAAGTTTCACCTTAACAACAATAAATTATTATAATAACAAACACCTCAGAATAATACAAACATATAAGAATAATACAGATGTACAACCAACTTACTGTAAGATACTTTTTAGTTGTTTTTTAAACAAACTAATTTTGGAGTCAAAAATATCTATTTGTCTTGGCAAGCTATTAGCACTTCGGACCAATCGTGTAGTTGGTTCATTGATACCATAATTAGTGTGGTGAAATGGCACCGAAAAGATTTCTGATTGTCTGTTGCTTCTACTAGGAACTTTAAGACTAACAAGCGATAAGAGTTGAGGACAACCTATAAAAGCATTGATAACTTTGTGTAAGAAACATAAATCTAACAATGTCCTCCTTGACTCAAGTGTTGGTAAGTTAAGACTATCTCTTACCCACTGATAGTCATATTCCTCTCTCCTGTATCCACTCTTATAGGCTGCTACCTTCAAAAATTTATTCTGGACTCTTTCAATCTGTTGAATGTAACAGTGGTATGATGGGGACCATACAACTGATACAAACTCAAGAATGGGCCTAACGAGACCACAATAAAGTCTTCTAAATGTAAATAAAGACAGATCCACAGATGTGCGTTGGATAAATCCCAGCACTTTCATCGCTCTGTTTGTTACTTGGTTAATGTGGCTTGAGAATGACAGTTTGGTGTCTAACCAAATTCCCAAATCTAATACTTCATTTTTCGAGACTAATGGTAAGTTATTTATGTAGTAAACAAATGTAATTGGATTTCTTTGCCTCGAGAATGTCATTTTATGACATTTGTTTATATTGAGTGACATTTTGTTTAAAGTGCACCAATCATAAAACGATTTAAGATCTTCCTGTAATATAACAGCATCATTTCAGGATTGAATTTTTCTAAACAGTTTTACATCGTCAGCAAACATAAGAACACTACAGTTTTTGATTTGTTGTACTAAATCAACCAGAAACAAGCAAAACAAAACAGGGCCATAATTGTAGCCTTGTGGCACGCCTGATGGAACTGTTATTTCAATTGAAGTGTCACTTCCCAAGTTAACTGTCTGCGTACGGCCACTAACAAATTCTGTAATCCACTGAAGAAGGGGATCCAAAATACCCAAAGCTCTTAGTTTTTGTAAGAGGACCCCATGATTTACCCTATCAAATGCTTTGGAAAAGTCAGTATAGATTGAGTCAACCTGGCACCCCTCTTCAAAGCTGTTATATATTATGATTGACATACAAAACCAGGTTGGTATCTGTTGACCTCCCTCTCATAAAGCCAAATTGTTCAGAATTAAACATGCCTCTATAACTTCATGTCAGTTTCTTACTAACCAAGCAATCAAACAACTTGGGCAGCTCCGACTGATTAGAGACAGCTCGATAGTTTGATATATCGTTCCTTGCACCCGATTTAAAAATCGGCTTTAAAAAACTTTTCTTCCAGAGACTGGGAAAGCTACCAGTATCAAGTGATCTGTTAAAAATAAACAAAATTGGTTTTGTAAGTACACATATACATTTTTTCAGAAAATAGGCTGGAATTCCATCCGGCCCTGCACATAATATGTTTTTACAACTTGCAATAGTATCATAGACCTCCGTTGCTGTAAGTATTATAGAACTCAAACAAATAGAACTGTCAAAATTAAAAAAAGGTGAAGTATATTTTTGTTCATCTGAGTAGACTGATGAGAAATATTCTGCGAACATATTGGCAGAGTCCTTCATATTTAAGCCAACCCTATCCTTATAGACCATTCTGGATGGTATATTATACCCATTTCTTTTGCTTTTAATATAAGACCAAAAATATTTTGGATTGTCGGAAATGTTATTTTGTATCCCATCTAAATACTGTTTCTGACAGTCTGCTCTTAAAATTTCACACTGGTTTCTTAAAGCCATAAAACGGTCATAATCATCTTGCCTACCACTAATTTTAAATTGTTTATGGGCCTGTTTTTTTACATATAATTAGGTTACGCAGTTAACGTGGTTAAGTTTAGTAACCAATTTTGCGCCATCCCTGTTGTCCAACTCATAATCATTTATAATGTCCATTACTGTCCTTGAGGTCCTTAAAAATATGACAAAGGAAATGGAAATTATGAATACGATTAAGATAAGAAAGTTACAATATCTCGGCCACGTTATGAGAGGGTTATGAGAGGGGATAAATGCTACAAACCATATTGCAGGGAAAAATACAGGGAAAACGAAGTATTGGAAAAAGACGCATCTTCTGGCTCAACAATCTGAGAAAGTGGTATAACTGCAGTTCCATCGACTTGTTCATAGCTGCAATCTTAAAAGTAAAAATAGCTGTGATGATTACCAACCTCCTTAAAGAAGACGGTACCTAAAGAAGAAGATTATGGTCATTAATCTTTTTAATTGTGCCATTGACTCTTGTTCACTTCCTTTTAATATAGTTTTAGTTGTTAAGTCCTGGGATCATATACATAATTTGTGAAAATGGTCCCATCTTCATTATATTTTAAAACTGTTCATACATATTTCTAAGCGTAAATGGACCATGTTTAATTTTTTCTAATAGTTCTTCGTTATCTTCTAACTTTAATTTATTTACTTTGTTAATTAAACCTTTTATGTCACCCATCCCCAATAATTTACGAATAAAATGTTTTGTTTTAAACGGGTCTAAATCGTCCATGTGCTCGCCTGTACCGATGAATATAACTGGACTGTTTGTAGCTGCAAAAGCACTAACAATACCTTGTTTTGCTTGACCATCCAATTTTGTAATAATTACAGATCCTACATCTACTTTTTTTAAGGCTTTTGCTTGGGTTTCGCAGGCTTCACCAACTGTGGCAACTATGACGAAAATAATATTGTCTGGTCTCATAGCATTCAAAACTGCTAACATTTCTTCAAACAAAGATTCTTTTTTTTTATTTACAAAATTGCTTCAACCACTAGGGGTTATTAGCATGGTACAATAAATTACATAAATGTTAATATGTTACTCTATATTTTGTGAAATAGTCCTGCATTTTGTGAAAAGTTTATAGTTTTATCATTATTGAAGCCGTTTAAGCACTCTTTGGATGAAGTGGGTAATCCAGCTTGAAGTCGTTCTAGGGTGTACAAAGGGCAGTCCACTAGCACATAGTCCACTGAACTTACACAATCACAACTGTAGCACATGTGAATTTGTTCATTACTTAGAAGGTAATCGTGAGTTAACTTCGTATGGCCTATACGTAATCTAGAGATGCACACTTGGTCTCGTCGCTTGAATGGGAATTTGTATATAGCTACCTCTTGCTTAATGTTTTTCATGGATGTCTCTGAATTGTTCCAGTGTAGTTGCCATTCCTCGCTTATTTTGTTTCTAATATATTGCTTCAGGTCGCTATGAACGCATTTAGTGAGTAATGTTGATTGTGGATTTTCTGCTGCTTCCCTGGCCAACTGATCAGCTTTTTCGTTTCCAGTTATACCACAGTGTGACGGAACCCAAAGGAATTTAACAAATCGGTCGTTTTCTTGACACCTCATTAGTTCTGACTTTATAAGCAATAGAATGGGATGGTTTGTGTATAACTGTTTCATAGAGCTGAGAGCACTTAAAGAGTCAGTTATTATCAAAGGTTTTTTTATGTTTTTATTATTCACAAATGTTATTGCTTGCAAAATAGCAAGAAGTTCTGCGGAAAATATGGTTGATCGTGAGGAAAGTGAGAAGGAGTAGTCTTGGTGTAGAGTTGTAAAAGAAGCATGGACGGTATGAATTTGGACATTAGTAATTTAAATTCTTCTAGACGGGTGTAAAACCCGTTCAGATTCCACTGAATTATGGAGTTGAATTTTTAATTAATAGCCGTATCACTGCAATCTGTAGAGGAATAGTCATCCAGTAGTTTACAAAGTTTCTTCCTTAGTCTTGTACATCGTGTTTTCAAGTATCTTTGTGATAGCACTGGATGAAGTTTTTTTAGGAGATCTATTAACCCTTCGATATCTTCCGTGTATGTTTTAGCTATACTAAGCGAATCTGCAGCTCCATGGGTGTTTTCAAATAAATCTATTATCTCTTCTTGACTTAAACAGCTACTGTTTGACTTATTTTGAAAAAAATCAACTGTACAGTTAGTAATATCTTCAGCTATGTTGTGGTGGGTTTGGACATCCGTTTTTGTTCTTTTGTGTTTTGTATTGGGTTCTTTAAAAGGATTTACACCCTCCGGTTCAGGAGAATTTGTTATATCAGAAGCATTTCTTTTAGGTGTTTGAGCTTCTGTTTGAGTTTCATTTATAGTTTTATTTATTTTACCAGGTTCAGAAGCATTTGTTTCGGGTATTTGTACTTTTGGTTGAGTTTCTATTAGAGTTTCATTTATTTTATCCGATACTGCCTCCATTGGTTGGGAGTTATCGAAAAAGGTGGAGTTTATTGGTGTGGGTGAAGTGATGGTTTCAGTAGGTTGTGGATTACTGATTTGTTTGGTAAGTACGGGATAATGTACTGTAGATTGAGTTGTATTTTGTTGTGAACTAACAGTCTGGTCACATTGTGATTGAGAAATGTGTGTTATATTGTCATCAGTGTATTGATTATTATGATTTGGGCATCGAGATGCTAAATGATTAGTTTGTTTACAAATAAAGCACGTTTGTTTTTCTAGTGAGAGAAATATTCGATAGTTCGATTGATCATGGTTAATTAGTATTGAATCGGGGATATTTTCAAGATTTGTAGGGGCTATATAAGTAAAACGTCGAAAACTAATGATATGCCTAAAACTAGGATTTGATGTTCCGATCCGTAAAAAATCTATTGGTGTTATTTGATGGATTCCTATCTTTTTGAGTTCATTTTCTATTATGTTATGTGGTACAGAAGGAGATACATTAGAAATAATTAATTTTTCATTTGGAGTAATTAGTTTTCTAGCTTGAATACGATATTGGTTTACTGTTATTATCCCATTGTAATTGGGTGTTGCTTCGTTGAACGCTCGAAGTCGAATAAAGATTCTTTTTGCTTGAGGCTACCACTTGTATTTACTATTATAATTTTAAAACCTTCCTTTTTAAACACATCAACACCATCCTGGGTCTATGGGTCTAGGACTACAAGATCAACTTATGTGTAATATCCATAAAAGGGTCTCCTAGCCTTTGTGTAGTTCTGTTCTACTCCATTTTTGTCCTTGCAAAATGTTGATGTTGTTGTATATCCTTGGGTATATTGCTTGGTTTCCTTGTAAAATTTTACAGTCTCTCTTTTGTTATTACAATCTGTAATTTGTTGTATTTTTCTATTCAACATTTTTCTCTTTTTTCTTCAACATATTTTCTTTGCATCTTTCCTGAATTCTTCATATGCCCTTCTGTTCAATCGGGAATCCCTTTGTAGACATTTCTGTCTAGTTATATTTTTGCTATTTATTACTTGTTGAAAATCTTGGTCAAACCATTCCTCGTTTCTTTTGCTTGAGGTTTCACCTAATGTTTCCTTTGCCATATTTGTAATTGTTGTTTGGATAACATTCCATTCCTCTTCAATGTTGTTTTGTTCTTCTCTTTCATTTAATATTACTTTTATTTTCTGCTGGTACTAATTCTTCTTTTTAGGATTTTTAAACATATATTGTTCTATTTTCTTTGTTTGGTGCCTTTCTCTTTTCTTACCATTGCTATACTTTATTTTATCTTCGATATAACCAAGAAATGGTTCAATTTGCGCCTCTATAAGTTTTAACATCCGTTACGGAGGTTGCCCACCGCTCAGATATTATTACGTGATCAATTTGATGAAATTTATTAGTACCAGGTATCATCCAGGTTCATTTATGAATATTTTTTTTTCTTTGGTTTAATAAGTTGAGCGTTATTTTCTATATCTTTTTAATTTTTTGTTTTTACTAGGTAAATTTCATTGCCAAGTTTTCGTGATTATTTTATACTGACATGTTTTTATATTTTTATCAAAATATTATAATATTCACTTAACTTCTATTGTTATATTACAACATAAATTCCAGATTCCTATTTTTAACCCATCACCTTGTATAACGTTACTTAAAAACAATTACAAGACAGTTTAAGCCCATTATCTCTGACCTACCTGTTAAAATACTTCCTGAACGCTGCACTGACAAAATATAGAGCAATTGGATTAGCGCAGGAATTGATATAGCACAGACAAAACCCAATTATCCGCAGGTAGTGCCAAAACGCGTTGTAAAGCTCCTGCGATTGTGGATGAAAATAAAAGAAGAGCATAAAAGCGTGAAGTGGTGCGAAGCAAACTGCAAACACCGCTACGAAAACCAGCACTGTCACGGCTACCTTCTTTCTTGCCCGGATCTGAAAAGAAAACGGTAGGTAAGTGATTTATGGTACTAATAAAATAATTATTGTGCTGTATTTCAGATTAAACAATATTATACACATATTGTAGAAACACTAAACTGAAAAGCAGTAAAATGTCGTAAATTACTTATTATATTTTTATAGTGCTTTTTATAATAAAAATGCTAAATTTATGGTACATATAGATATTTAAAGACTAAATAGAAAGAAATATATACGGCGAAATAAATGCACAATCTTGTAAAGAAATAAAATTGGCCGACTGATATGAAAAACCTTCCATTTCAGACAGGCCCGACACCTATTGAGTAAATATAAGTGGTTTTCAAGAGTCTTGGATACACTATGTGTCAATTGATATTAAGAAGTAATTGTTGTTTTATTTCTACGAACTGAAGGAACGAGCTGATATATAGAGCTAGCTTGGGATAGCAAAACTACCACTACAACGCTGCGCCATAAATGTTATCTCGTCGGCAAAAACAATGGATTTTCTGGTTCTTGCCTATAGCTTTCCAGAGGTCTTCGGCTATTTTGGATGAAGGTATTAATCCATCTGTACTGTATTGGTCATGTATTATATAAACTCCATTTAAGGAGTTTATGTATATGTCGCAGCCAGATGATTAAATTGGCCCGTTTGAAGATTTACTAGCCCTTTAATTGAACAAAGCCATTAAATAATATGTCTGAATGTTGATTAGCCGAGTGACTGACGACTGTCGGAGTTGGTACTCCGTTCGTCTCGCGGAAATAAGAATACGACCGAGGCCAGAAGACCCCGCCTGTCGTAAGAGGCGACTAGTGGGAAGGAACTGAGTGTGGAGAGCCGTCGCTTGAGGTGTCGGGTTTGTAGAAACGCACTCGGGATGTTAGGCCCCTCGGTCACACGTCTACACTTCTTCTCATTTCACAAGAGTCAGGTGAGGTTGAACGAGCAGAAGCCCGTATATACCTCTCACGACCTTACACCACCGGGAGTGGTGTCGGTATCTCGGCACGTACCCACCTGGATGATTTAAGAATAGTAGAGGAGTTATCCTCGGCGGCGACCTGTCTACGTGCAAGGTGGAATTCCTCCGCGCCTGCGTTATCTTTTCCTATATATATATATATATATATATATATATATATATATATATATATATATATACATATAAATATAATAAGGATCACTCAGACGAGTCGTGGGTTCTTATATCGGTCTCAAATTAGAGAAATAAAAGTCAAAGTTGATAGGCTACTTTATCTATTTTGAAGACGTTTCGCTTTTGTATTCTGAAAGCATCATCAGTTCACCTAAAAAGTACAATATGAGAACCACACAAACATGGAAAAGATGTTACAAGTGTTACCTTAAAAAGACATGTAGCAGTCAATGATATTGACGGTCTTACAAAGAAATTCGCTTACAAGACAAAGATGATACTGCTAGGCATTCCTTCGATCTTGAAGACTTCCAACTCTCAATTTCCTCAGGTGTACTCTTTGCA